GAATGCAGGCCTTCTCTGGTCATTCATGAAGCATTTTCAGTGATCTTGAAAGGTGGTCACTTTGGGTGCCTGTTGTGCTTGGGTTCGATGCGTCTGTCTGTGTGCAATCGCTCTCAGTATGCGTACACCTGATAAAAAAATGAATAAAATGTTGATAAAATAATACTTAGTATCTTTGTGTTGATCAACACACTTTCATACACACAACATTAAAATACATGTATGCAGCTAGCCTGAAGTATGTATACTTATAATAGATGTAGTAAGATAATAAATACTAATAATAATATTAGTAGTATTTATTATCTTATCATGACATTTGTTTGGTTGGAGGAGGGGGCATATATTAGTAATATATGTCCCCTCCTCCAACCAAACAAATGACATGTCCAGTTTATATTACACCTTGTATATAGATATACATATATATTATTTTTATGCATGCATATATATTGATCTTAATGTGCACTTCACATATATCTACTAGCAGAAACCATATCTTATGGGTTTCTGCTACTAGTAAATTGTTCTATATTCTGAAATATTAATACCTAATGTAGTAGGAAAAATGCAGGTTCTTATAAACGGGTTTTTACTGTATTTGTAATGGCAACGCACCAGGAATGTTTCTCTCTGTAGATATTTCCATTTGTGCCCCAACGTCAGAAAAGGCCGCATCTCTTTGCTGGTTCTGCTTCTCTTCCATATTCAACTTCTTCTTAACTCTCTCACGCCGTGCAGATTGGGCAGGCGTTGTTTCCTTGCTCCACGAGAAGATATGCGGCACAGCCGTAGGTCTCAGCATTGTTATCAGGGGCTTCGTACCTAGTTAAAAACACTATTGCTATTAAGTACTATTAGTAATACTATTAGTATATTACTAAATTACTACTAGTACTAGTACTAGTATTACTATTACTATTAGGGCATTTGTCAAATTCAAAGTTTAGGTTCAGTTTGTTTATAATTATATACCCCTGAATATAATTACATCATATTTTATTGGAATGTATTATTTACACATGCAGAAAATATCTGTAATGTAACTAAACTTACCATAAGTTGTCTTTCTCTCGTAGTCATCTTCATCGAAGTGTCGCTTACAAACGACACTGTGCCTCAGAGCCGCCACTTCTCATTTCGTCTCACAGCTGCCAACCACTGCTTGACCCGATTTGGGTTCGATAATGGCCAAACATGACCGCTTTTTCCATCACAATTTGGTACACAACACAACGGCATAATGGCATAACGAATTAGTCCGTGACTTTTGCTTTGCGTGCTATTAATGGTGATAAATAAATCTTTTGAATCTTGAATCTTACGTATTGATTATCTTAGCAACACTGCGCCGGTGGCCGACTTGCCTCGCAGCGCCATCTATCAAGTCAAGTTTTTGATACAACCCCATTAAGCCTTATTATCGCCCACACATCTAATAAACCAGGAGTTAAGCAGCAAAATTAACAGAGGTGCACAAGCAGCATTACAGGTATATGTACCACATCCCTCCTGAATCTACATCAACCTAGCTCATCACAGTCGCTTCGTCTACCTTACCCTTTTGGCTTTTAGTTTCGCATTCCACTCAGCTTTTACGATTTTGAATTCTTCGTCGGTGTAGCGCCTCGGTTTTTTGGCTGCTGGTGGCTGCATTTTGTCATCCACTGTCGTTATCTCCTCCAGAGGTGTGATAGTCCCGATGGTTTCCAGCTTTCTATGGCCGGCCGTGGTGGTCTGTAAATTTAAGTTATAGGGTCCATGCTGTGAATGTGACAAGTTAAATCCAAGTCTAAACTGCGTCAGTGATATATACGGATTAAAATTCCATTCTCTTTGAAGTTACTATATTACAACAGTAAACCAGCAAACAGTGGTTTTATACAGATTCTAGATATTTATCCTAGAAGATTTTTTGTTCTTATAAATTTAACTGTTCCTGATTATAACTTGGCTGTTAGTGTCATTGTTGCACTATCACTGGACATAAACTAGCAGCAAATATATTTTGGCTTAATGAAAGATGAATGTCAACACATGATCACTCTAACGAAGCTACAGAATAGGATCGGCAAAACACATGGCCAAACATGGTATAAAGACAAAGATCCAAATGGTAGCTAACACAACCTATATTGTTGCAAAGTAGCAGTCCTCTGGCTACATAATAAATACGGAGACCGTCCATAACTGTTCGTCTATTACTTTACTCCACACAATCCACAAAGAATCGGTGTTGTAACATGGTGTCAGAAGTAGTAAACTTCATTAAGTTTATGCTAGAACGTGAGGATACTCGTCAGCTATGCAACATATAGCATGTGGCCAAGGCCACTAAATTTTGATGCCAGGAATTTGAGTCATGCATGGATGGCGAGTTCAAGTTAGTTTTATCTAGACTTAGTGCTAGAAGGAAAGGAAGAAAGAATCAAGTAAAGACATTTTTGTATCTGATAGGTGACAGAGGCAGGGAAATATATACCCTCTGTTGATCACCACTACAGAGGATGTACGCACAACTAAGCATCTGCTTACTGGCTTAAGGCTTTTAAGAAATACTGTATCCTCACAGCAAATGAAAGAGTGGAGAGGTATCGATTCTTTATTAGAAATCAAGGGCTTTAATAGTAAGAGTATAGACGAATATGTTACAGTTTTAATAAATAGTGCTAACCGGCACTCCGGCACCGAACAAAACAGTACTAGACAAACTGTGGAGACTTTTTATATTATCAGACTTTGTTAGAACTCGTAAATTTCTACAGTCTATCTGTGTATCTAGGATTACGATAAGGATGCATGTCGTGATTTTACTTTTGGGTTAGTTTTAAAGGTTATAAATAAGGAAATGGAATGCCACGGGAAGAAATTCCTATCGTTGAATACTTGTGAAGTTGGGCTGGTAAAAGCGTCAGCAACAATGCAAACAGATATTTCAAGCCGTTCAAACCGTAGTTATTGGAAACTTAATTAGGCAGTCCATGTTGGGCTGGCTGTAGTAGGGACACTGCTTACGCATTTTGGCCATCATATATGACCTTGGATTCAATTTTTTGGGACGATTCATGGATTAATTACGCTTCGAGACCAGTGTTCGAGACTGATGTGATAAAACGGAACATGCATAGTGGGCAGACACGTTTCTTTCAGCACAAATAATTATGGGTAATAACTTGTTGTTATATCGCTGTTGCTATTCTCCCGGTATTGGTAGCGGGCCCACTTTTTGCTAGACTACCGGTACCGTAGTGCTAATTATAGGATCTCTATGGTGCTAATGTGGATTGATTCTATCCCAAAAACCACCGCGCGGCCTGACTCCAAACAGTACACCAGTCATGGCGGCGCAAAATGAAGTTAAGTTTGAAATTGGTGAATCATTTAAGTCATTAATGAGCTAGAGGCTAAAATACAGGTTTAAAAAATCAAACTTTATAGAGCTTTGGAAGCGTGATGCGAGAACAATACATCCAGCTAATAAGAGATTAGATAAATGATTAAATGTAGAGTTGAAATACCGTTGCATCCACGGTGGACAAAGGTTCGTTACCAAGTCTAAAGGAATAAAAACTTCACTGGGGCCAAAACAAAATATATGTGTGGTTACCGTTACATGCCGAAAAAAATAGGGTAGGTAGGTAGGGAAAATATTTTATTTTATTGAAGGATGTCCGATCATTATTTATGTCCGAAGGATGTGCATTGTGCCTTTTGAAGCAGGAACTGTTTAATTCATATTTTTTTATCTTTTTATTTAATTTTTATTTTTTTGACTTTAAAGAAAATTGACAATAAAATGTTTAGGGTCGCTGGGAATAAATTGGGTCGGTCGGGAAATCGTAACCACACCTATATTTTGTTTTGGCCTAACTGTAAGTATTACTAGTACTGTAAATATGATTGCATATTTGATAAGCTCTGTCATATTTGGTTACTTCTAATATTCTGTGGTTAACACCATTTATTTTTTTTAAACAAGATTGTGCAGTCCACAACTCCGGATACTATTACTATTAGTATTACTACCGGGAGAATAGCAAAAAGTGAGCCGCTACCGGTACCGGGAGCTTAGCAACAGCGCTGTTATATATGTATACAACTACAAGTGGCTAAATACAAGAATTGCTCACGACTCCGATTGCTCAATATAACGGTTAAATCGCACATATGACTCCAACCTTGGAAATGATAACAATTAACATAAATTTATTATTTATTTGATTTATTTATTTAATGATAAGTAGGCCTACATGTTGATTTTGTTTCCGTGTTCCTAATTTGTTTTCTGTTGCAGCGACTCGCTAAATTGCTGACACTGTCAGTCTGGCTCATGTACATTTGTACCATGCAACACAGCTAGATTGTAAATAAGTTGTGATGAATTTAGCTTGGATATTTTTTATAGTCTTTGCACTGAATGTGTATTGTAAAACAATAACCTGTAGATGTATCATGATGTAGAAACTCTAAACTTCACCACTCTGTGTTGTGAGTTTAATAGAAGAACCGCAGTATCAATCTACGATCTTGGTCTATTGTTATATTGACCAACCAGAGTCGTGAGCAATTCCTGTATTTAGCCGCTAGTTATATGTATAGTGCCCACCATTCGACTCACAGGCACTTGGAACATCTCAATAAAAAAAAGGTAAATAAACACAAAATGTATTTACTACAAAAGTCTTAATGTTTCTCTACTCTATTTCGCCTATTATTGCTGATAATTACCTGCAAATGCCGGTCAATTAAATGCTCATCTGAAACACACAAGTACACCGCACGCCCGCCCTGTGCACAAACAACAAGAATAAAGGCGCGTTCACACGGACGTTTTTGGCCCGAGCCTAATTAGGCCCGTGCCAGATTTGGCTCGAGCCGAGCGTTCACACGGACGTTTTTGGCCCGAGCCTAATTAGGCCCGTGCCAGATTTGGTCCCATCGAAAAACGTCGGACCAGGCCCGAGCCAAATTTTAGCACCAGCTTTCGGCGAGCGGTTGAGCGGTAGATAACGCGAGTGTCGAACGTGTATTTCGACGAAATAAAGTCCAAAACAGTATAAAAATTTGAAGTAACAAAACGTAAGTAAACACTGAATCGTAAACAACGCCATCTCGCGACATACTGCCAAAGTATTTGTGCAATAAAATTTATTTTTATTTGAATTTGAATTTGACAGACCGTATTCACTTGCGTACGTGTGAACGCGCCGACTCAAACCGGCCCGAGCCAAATTTGGCCCGAGCCAAATCTAGCCCATTTGGCTCGAGCTAAATCATGACCGTGTGAACGCGACTTAAGAGGGAACATTCTCTCTTGAATCTTATTCATGTTGTTTGTGCACATGAAGGGCGTGCGTGCGGTGTACTTGTGTGTTGCAGATGAGCATTTGACCGGCATTTGCAGGTAATTATTGGCAGTAATAGGTGAAAATTGAAATAGAGTAGAGAAACAAGATTTTGGCAGTAAATACATTTCGTGTTTATTTATTCTTTTTTTATTGAGACGTTCCAAGTGCCTGTGATTCGACGGCTATGACTTTCACCCACACAAACCACAAATGAAATAATAATCGCTATCGTAACAACAGTCAACACACAGAACTAGACAGTGATACTGTCACTGAGATAGGCCAATTTTTTTACAAATTTATAATTGACGTACGATGCTGTCCCTTTCATTGGCTTTTGCAACTCTTAGAAACGCTTCAATTTTTCGTGTTTTCCTTACATGACGACGATATTGTGCAGAGTTACGCGTAAAATCCTGCATGGCTTGACATGAGTTAATCTGGTGACCAATTTCACCAGATATTAATATTATGAAGCACACTAATACCACAGACACTATGGCACACCAACCAGTGAACCACGTTGTAACGTCAAAAACATGCCAAACAGTAAGTGCTGCCACCTAGAGACACAAAGCCGCATTTTCTTCCACTAGTGCGGAACATAGAAGTCTCTTCACTTCTATAGTGCGGAAGGCATAGGCCGAAGCAATGACGGAGGTGTACAGGGGGTTGTCTTCCTCCCGCCTCCCTTCCCCTCTCTTTTCACCTGCCTCCCCCTCTCCTCCCACCTCCCTCCCCTGTCCTCCTATCTCCCTCCCTCAACACCTCCAGGATCCTTTATATTTTGCATTTTCCTTTTTGAATGTCACTTAATTACTTTCTCTGACAGTTTGCGTAATAAATGTATTAATCCTGTGGGTGGTATGGATTTCTTTTA